TAGACTCGTTGAGCTACCTTATCCAAGGCAAGGACTAAGGAGCCCAGCCCCAGACAGGGAGTAGGTCATTGTGGCATCAGGAGTAATGATCACTGGCCATAGAAGGTCAGAAGGCAGTGAGGGTGGACCCAGGTAGTAGGTAGTCATTCCCCATTTGGTGCCCAGTTTGGAGGTCCATGGGTCGGAAGTACAGTCAAAACTCGGGTTTGTGGGTGGCGCAAATGGTTAAGCCCTGGATACTTAACTGAAAGGTTGGTGGTTCGAACCCACCCAGAGGCTCCTGGTGAGACCAGCCCCTTAGATCTGCCTCCAAAAGCTCACAGCCTTGAAAACCACATGGAGCAGCTGTACTGTGCACACATGGGGTTGCCATGAGTCAGAACTGACTCAACTGCAACTAACAACATCAGCAACTGTAAAACCCTACATGAAGTTTTGGCCACATACACTCTCAACCTCCCACACATACTTACATACATACATACAAATACCCGTACATTTTTATATACATATACAGAGAGACTGAGACAGAGAGATTATGATTTTGTAGGTGCCACTTTTGATACAGCCTCATCCTATTCAAAGAAAATATACATTACCATTGTATTAGGACCACTTCCAATCCTGGTCCTCTCTCTCCTTTTACCCTTTGTCCCAACCTTGCTTGTACTGTGAAGCATGTTTAATTTTTCCTTCTGTTTGCTTTCAATGTTTAATGTACATGAAGGCAAATACAGATTCATGTTTGTATTTCACCTTTTCACCTACCCCAGAGGATAGCATGAACAATGTATTTTTCTTCTTTTTCATTGCTTTCACAGAGTATATGGCCTGGACTTTGCATGTCTATGCGGAGAAAACGTCCTGCTAAGTACGTTTCGTTTCATTTCCTTTCTATCCACTGCTTCGTGTTCCTCGGTGTGGAGATGGTTAAGGCCACAAATTATTTATCCTGGGCTTTTCATTTCACTCTGCGTTTAGTATGTCCTTCCTTCCATTTTTCCTTCTATCCATCATCTTCCTCCTGTCGCCCCCATCTCTCTGCCTTTTACTCTCTGTTCCTCTCCCTTTCTTTCTTTAATAACATGCTCTGAGGCAGTGCATTACCTCATGATAGTGTGTTTGCAGGTACATTTTATAATAATTGTCAACCTAGAGATTTAGTAGTTTGATGAAGTATAATTGGGACTCATTCTAGAATAAATACCTTTATCCCTGGAAAGACAATGAGGTTGGTATCTGTGAGCCAGAAGGGAGAGATCTTGTTCCCATTCATCAGTATGTCAAAGGAGCAATCCCTTAAGGGTCTGGTATTTCATTTGTGGTGGATGAAAGAGGCTCGTGACTATATTTATATATGTTCCGGCATATTCACACGTGCACAGAGACGAGGAGGAAGGGATATAAAGGTCAAGGGAAGATTGTACTTGCCACACATAAAATATTTTGGGGGCAGGTACCTTCAGATTTCACAGGAGCTGGTTCTGTAAGATCTGATTCATTGAAACACTGTGAATTGTATTTGTGTAATTTCCGAAAGGGGACTGGAGCTGAAATTCATATCACAGTGTATTTTGAAATTGTTATTCTTATAGCTGATCTAGTAGCGTTAAAAAAAAAGCAATAAATCTCTATTTTTCTGCTGAGTGAATAATAGTGTGTCGGCTGGGTGGCGTGTACACAGCCACCTTTTACCATCACTCTGGCAAACTGAAATGGAGTCCTGGGTGTCTGGGCATCTCAGTGCTGAGGAAACTGGACTGGAAGGAAAGACAGGACAGAGAATGCTGCTCATCTCCAGGTGGTGGAGTTATGGGTGAGTGGTCTTTTTTTCTATTTCATTCTCCTTGCAAAACCAGGTTGCACAGAACTGCTGATTCTATTATATTTAAAAAAAAAACAAACTACAGTAATTTCTGGTATTTGAGGAAACCTCATGAAGGAGAGACTACCATAAAATGTCAAACAACTCAGGCCTTGTTAATTACTGGGGTAGGCCTGATAAAAGTAACAAACCATCAGGGATAGAAAAACAACTTGGGAAATCCCCTATGTCATTTTTCCAAGAACCAAGGGCAAAAGGTCACCCAAGGAAACTGATTACACCTGAGTTAGATAGCGCCACAAATCCAAACAAGCCATAAGGCAGTGTTAAGAGAGGAAGTCAAGATACTCATCCCCACTCAAGCCATAGTCAACTTCCTGGGAAAGCTAAAATCCTACCCAAGACAACCTGTATATCTACACGTGTGAATAAAAATCTGGGTACCTGTTAACATGGAATCCTAACCAGGCTTATAGAAATAGATGTAGCAATAAATAAAGATAAACATGCATGTATACATGCACTCATAGTTCATTCCTATAAATTATATATACATATACATACATACAAGAAGCCCTGGTGGTGCAGTGGTTGAAGTAATCAACTGCTAACCTAAAGGTTGGTGGTTCGAAACTACCTGCTGCTCCATGGGAGAAAGATGTGGCAGTCATCTTCCATAAAGATTTACAGCCTTGGAAACCCTATGGGGTCACTATGAGTTGGAACCGACTCCACGACAGTGGGTTTGTTCTTTTATGTGTATATACATACATACATACATTCCAAGAAAAAAGGCCAGAAAGGAAAACACTTCTCCCAATATCCCAATGAGGTAAACCTAACTCGGAAAGCCTGGCCCTTCCTTGGTGTTTTTTAGCCAGGAAAGGGTGGAGGTGGTGGCCACTGAGAAGGGGTGTTTGGCATTTGTGGAGCAACAGTGCCAACAAGCGGACCCTCCAGTTGTATCTTGTGATGAGACCCGTGATATGAACAGGGTGGGTTGAGGGCATGCAGAGGACTCTGTGCCCTGACCAGGCCACCTCCAGAGCTGGTGTGAAAGCCACAGAGCCAGGCTTCCTGACAAGGAAGCCCCAGGCAGCAGCCCTGCCAGGCTCAGGGAGCCGTCGGGGCGTGGCCTCAGTTGCCGCTATGTTTGGGACAAAGTGGAAAGGTGTATTCCATACTAATTCTAAATGGTAACTGAAAACGTCTTCACAAACAGGAAAAATGAGCTGAAGCTCCATTGGAGTGGCTTGTGTCAGTCCTTCCCAGACATGGCGACCACCAAGACCCTAGCCTTGGCTTCCTGGGCACCATCGGCCTAGTAACCTGGCTGTCTGCCTCATCCTAACCCCAGTTTCCTCAGCTTCCTAGGCAGGTCTCCACGTTGGTTTACACTTACCCCATGTCTCAGGGAGCTGTGGGCATGAAGGACCCTGTCTTTCCTCCAATCCCAGGCCTCCCCAGGAAATAACATGGGTACGTGTATGGGCTTTGGAAACAATTTCCGCTTGATGGCAGTATTGCACCAGAAATGCCAGTGCACCCTTCCCTAGGCCCTCACCCTCCACCCTTTGTTATCGAAAAAAAAAAAAACGCCAACCAGTGTCCAGCCTTCCTAAAAACCTGGCGCTTTACCATCTTGTCCACTTTTGGGGTTCCAGCTCCCACATCTTGTACTGAATCTTACAAACCCTTGCCTCTGTAGAGAGGCAATTGGTTTCCTTCCTTCTGACAAGGAGGAATGACTTCCCACTCAGGCGCCCTGTGGCCATCCATATCTGCATCCTTAGCACTCCAGCTTGGCCAAGACCTCAAGAAATAGACTGAGTGCCTGCACAGAGTTCACCCACCCAGCGCCCCACTGCGCACTGGGGAACGTTCCAACTTGAGCTTTCTCACGCCTCACTGAAAAGCCAGTTTGATATCAATTTCGATTTTGTTCTTCTTTTGGAAAGCACACACCTATAATTTAGGTATGCTGCCAAGAATCAGATCTTAGAGAACCAAAAAACCAAACCCATTGCCATCGAGTCAATTCCGACTCATAGCAACCCTGTAGGACAGAGTAGAACTGCCCCGTAGGGTTTCCTAGGATGAGCGGGTGAATTTGAACTGCCAAACTTTTAATTCGCAGCCGGACTGTTAACCAGTTCGCCACCAGGGGAACATTCCAACTTGAGCATTCTTACAGTTCACCGAAAAGCCAGTTTGATATGAATTTTAATTTTGTTCCTCTTTTGGAAAGTAAACCACCAAAAAACCCATTGCCATCGAGTCGATTCCGACTCATAGCGACCCTATAGGACAGAGTAGAACTGCCCCACAGGGTTTCCAAGGAGCTCCTGTTGTATTTGAACTGCCGACTTTTTGGTTAGCAGCCAGAGCTCTTAACCACTACGCCACCAGGGTTTCCTCTTTTGGAAAGTACACACCTGTAATTCAGGGGTGCTGCCAAGAATCAGATCTTAAGGAACCAGTCCTTTGAAATATGAAGATATATTTTCCTGATAATCTCTTTCCTTTGGGAAGCACAGTCATCAACTTGACATGTATAGTCCCAGATCTTTTCTGCTCCACTGTGCCTGTCTGACTATGGAGAACATACGGGAATGTATTCCTAAACGTGTTTCCTCTACCACAAATGGAATACCAGATCTTCAGAGGATCATCAACTCCTTTGACTCACTTCACACATTCACATTATCATAACTATGATGAAGTTATATTCTACATTAAAGCAAGTTACTAAAGAAATAGAGGGAGACAGAGAAGTGGGTGGATGCAAAGAAGGAAAGAAGAAAGACATGAAGAAAAAAGTAGGTAGGTAGTAAGAAGGCAGGAAGGAAAGAAGGACCTCCAAAACCAGTGTCAAAGGAAAAGCCCAGGATAAATAACCTATGCGCCTCCCCACCCCCCACACAGGGAACACTAAGTAGTGTTTAGAAAGGAAATGATAACTACCTGGCAGGAGGTTTTCTCTACACAGATGTGCAAAGGCCAGGAGGCATATTTTGTGAAAGCAGCAATGCAGAAGAGTATATTGCCCGTGATACCCTTTGGGATGTCAAAGAGAATAACTAAAATGTTATCAAGGTTTTTCTTATCCATGAAACCAAATATTAAATGTAAAAATTCCTGACCAAAAATTAATCCTGCCAGTGGCTTTTTTTTTTTTTCACCCAAGGTTGCTAATCTTTTATTTTCTGTTGGAATCCAGGCTTACTTAATTTAAATTTCAAAAGGTATCATGACTACAGGTGGGTGGACGGCCAGAGACCACCTTTTGACCTGATATCAGTCAATTTCAGTTAAAGGGGGAAAGCAGGGTTCAATCCATCATGTTAAGATTAGCCAGTGGTTGATCTTCTTTCTATTCTCAGTTCTCTTTTCTTTATAAGCTGCATTGTAACTAACCTACTTCGAGCCGTTTGCTTTTTATTTGGAATCAGAATGGTCTCCCTATATGCATATAAAATAACTGCTCAGAATAAACCTTATGTTTCAATTTGAGTTTTGATTATTTCTAATGGGGGTCAGTTAAAAGGCGAAACACAAACATGAATCTGTATTTGCTTTCATTTACCTTAAAAACCAGAAGCATACACATGGAAAAATTAAATCTGGTTCTCACTATCAAGGAGGGTTGGAACAAGGGGTGGAAGGGAGAGGAACAGACTTGAAAGTGGCACTACAACGGATGATTTCTTTGATGGGATGAGAATCTATCTACAGTGTCACCCCCATGGTAGTTAAAGACAAACATAACAAAACTATATACATACGTGTGTGTGAGTGTCTAATGCAGCCAAACCTTCATGTAGAGTTCTGCAGTGAGCTATGCAGTAGACTGTAAAACAAATGACCCTTGTGGTTGTCACCGGTCTATGTGGCACCACTGGGGTCTCCTTGTGATTCATGGACCTACAATCTGGGGCACCAAATGGGCAATGTCTACCTGGGATTCATGAAGGTGAGCCAGGGCATCAACTTAACTGTCTTCCAACCTGCTGTGGCCACTGGTCATTACTGCTGATGCTACAATGGCCTAATCTCTCTCTGGACCTGAGCTCCTGAGCCCTTGCCCTGGATGAAATGGCTCATGATTCCAGAAAACCCAAGAAGGCAATAATAACAGAGGAAATCAAGGTATTCATCGCTATTCAAGCCAAGAGTCAATTTCCTATTAAACCTAAAATCCTACCCAAAAAGACCTGTATATCTACATGTGTGGACAAAAATCAGGGTACCTGTTAACATGGAATTCTGACTAGAGGTCTTACAGAAATAGACGTAGCAGTAAAGCTAAACATGCATGTATACATGTACTCATACTGGTATTTATAAATACATGTATCTCTGGGTGGTGCAGTTTGTACTTGGCTACTAACCTGAAAGTTGGAAGCTAAAACCCACCCAGAGGCATCTCTGAAGAAATGCCTGGCCATCTGCTTCCATAAATATTATAGCCAAGAAAACCCTGTGAGTGCAGTTCTACTCTATAACAAATGAAGTCACCAATGGTTGGAATCTACTATACGGCAATGTGGTTTATTTTAGTGTATCTTGTGGAGAAGGCCTATGATATGAACAAGGGTATTTTAAGGGCAGAAAGAGGACTTTGGGGACTTAACAGGCCACCTCCAGAGCAGGTGTGAAAGGCCCATGGCTAAACTCCCAAAGAAGCCCAGGCTGCCATGCCTACCAAGCTTAAGGAAGTATGAGGGGGCAACCTCTGTGGCAACCATGTTTGGGAGAAACTGGAAATGTATATTCCATCCTAACTCTAAATGGTAGCTGAAATCACTGACAGAAAAAATGATCTAAAGCTCCACTGGAGCTTGTGCTAGTCCTGCCCAAACATGGCAGCCACCGAGGCCCAAACATTGATTTCCTGTGCATGACATGCCAGGCATCCCGGCTACTTGCCTCATCCTGACCGCCGTCTCCACAGCTTCCTGGGCAGGCCTCCACCTTGGTGTGCACTTGCCCCATGCCGTGGGAGCTCTGGACATTGCAGGACTCTGTCCTAAGTCCTTTTCAGAGACCTTGACTTTCCTCACAACGCAGGCCTCCCCAGGAAACAGCCATGGTTCATTCTTGGACTTGACAAACAATTTCCGCTTGATGGCAGTATTGGACAATAAATGCCAGCGTGCCGTTTACTAAGGCCTTCTCCCTCCACCTTTCGAATTGAAAAAAAATGCTAACCATTATCCAACCTTCCTACATCATGGCACCTCACAATCTTGTCCACTTTGTGGGTGCTCCAGCTCTCACATCTTGTGAGTCTCGCAATCTCTCACCTCTATAGGGGGGTACTAGGTTTCCTTCCTTCCTGGCTGAACAGAAAATTACTCCCCACCCAGGCACCCTCTGGGTGGATGGACCTAAAGCTATCCAGCAGCCCACTGCCTGCTGGGAAACATTCCAACTTGAACTTTCTTACACTTCACCAAAAAGCCAGTTTGATATGAATTTCAATTTTGTTCCTCTTTTGGAAAGTACACACCTATAATTCAGGGGTGCTGCCCCTATAGGATTGCTCTGAGTCGGAATCAACTCGATGGCAACTGGAGGGGGTGGGGGGCAAGAATCAGATCTTAGAGAACCAGATGCTCTGAAATATAAAGATACCTTCCTGATAATCTCTTTCCTTTGGGAAGCACTTGATGTGTATAGTCACAGATCTTTCCTGCTCCTGGAAGACAGGAATCACACCTCCTCAAGTCATCGCATTTTCAGATTGGTTTGTAAACAGTCTTAGAAAGTGCAGAAATATTTGTGTCACTATGCCCCCTAAGCCCCTCCCAATCCTCCTTGGCCCCCATAATATTCCAGGAACAGCCTGTTAGCATGTCTTTACTGGCCTGGCTGAGGGCCATGGCCCACTGTGTTCAACCCAAGAGGGATCAGGAAATCATGGGAGACACAAGTAGGGAGGGCTCAACACAGAGAGGAAGGCAAAGGCCTTCAATACCTGGTTCTCCTCAGTGTCTCCAATTGTCTCTCCCTATTGGAGGCTGAGATTGTTCCTTCCCATTGGCAAGGTGGGCAGCCAAATGGTCCTCTCTCAGTGAGACAGCCTCCAAGGGCTCCTCCGGGTTACAACAGCTTTCCTCTCTCCCCTGCAATGAAGGACACTGACCTCTAATTCCCTGTACCTCTGCCCTAAGGTGTGCTCAGGTCATCCCCATGCCCCTCCACGCCTTTCAAATGTGGAGTTACATAATCAGGACGTCTCTCTCGAGATCCTTTTCTACCGTGCTGGAAAGCCACTTAATAAGTCTCCTAATGTTACTATGCTATATGAATCAATGTTGGAAATTCTCCTTCCTGAGGTTTGTTCAAATACCAGAAGTTATTGTGGTTCTTTAATAAAATTAACAATTCTATGCAACCTGGTTTGGAAACAACAATGAATACAAAGAAAGAGCACTCACCCGTAAGTCCACTGCCTAGAAATGAGCAGTGTTCTCTTCTTTCTTTCCAGTCCAGTTTTCTCAGTACAGAGATGGCCAGACACCCAGGACTCCATTTTGGTTTGTGAACGTGATGATCAAAGGCGGCCGCATACACTCTACTCAACTGACACGGATATTATTCCCTCTGCCGAAAGATAGAGATTTGTTGCACCTATAAGAATAACAACAATTTCTGAATAAATTGTGATATGAATTTCAACCTCTTCCTCTTGGAAATTATACATATATAATTCAGGGATGTTTCAATGAATTGGATCTTACAGGATCAAACCAAAACCAAACCCACTGCCATCAAGTCGATTCTGACTCATAGCGACCCTATAGGACAGAGTAGAACTGCCCCCTAGGGTTTCCAAGGCTGTAAATCTTATATGGAAGCAGACTGCCACATCTTTATCCCATGGAGTAGCTGGTGGGTTCGAACCTTTCTGTTGGCAACCGGGTGCTTTAACCACTACACCACCAGGGCTCCTTCTTACAGGACCAGCTCCTGTGAAATCTGAAGGTATCTGTCCCAAAAATACTTTATGGGTGGCAAGTACAATCATGTCAGAAGAAAGTGAGGTTGATGCCCTGGCTCACCTTCAGAAATCCCAGGTGGACACTGCCCATTTGGTGTCCCAGGGTAGAGAACCATGGGTTAGAAGGAATCCTCCATGGTGCCACACAAGCAGGTGACCTCAGAGAGCACCATTTGCTTTACAGTCTCTACTATAAAACTCTACATGAAGGTTTGGCTGCATCATACACTCACACCCTCACATACATACATACACACACAGTTTTGTTTGTCTTTAACTGCCATGGAGGTGCCACCATGGATAGAGCCTCCTCCCACTCAAAGAAAACATCCATTACCATTGTTTCAGGACCACTTCCAAGCCTGTTCCTCTCCCTTCTGCCCCTCCTCTCAACCCTCTTTATATTGGAAACAGGTTTAATTTTTCCATGTGTATGGCTTAGCTTTCAATAGGGTTTATAAGGTGATCCAAACCCTAAACACGGATCATGAACTCCCAACAGTGCGCACTTCCATGGGAGCATGGTTAGAGGGGAGAGAAGCTTGTGTACTTCTCTGGGTATGGAGGGTGTTCTAGTTTCAACTCAGAAGTAATGATCACTAGCCTAGTAATGTCACCAGATGATGTCTGCATGGGCAAAGTGGAAACCTAGTGGTTTAGGCACATTCTGTAGAAATAGAGTCTGTGGCTGCATACTTTCATTAGGAACCTGGTAGAAATCTTTGACTTTTGAAAGGATGCATGCTGGTAGGTCTGCTGAACATGGAAATAGGAAGAAACCAGGTCCTTCTCACTTTTCATATGCACATAGAGAAATGGATTTAACTTGTCTATCCCAAAGTGGACATTTTCTGGTATCGTTTGTTTCAGGTCTGCACCATGTCAAATTTCTGGAGACATATTTATTTCCATCAAGACATTTTCCTTGGCATTCAGAGTTAGGGAGGAATACATTTCCCATTTCTCTCAAACATGGTGGCCACCGAGGCCACGCCTGCACAGATCTCTGAGACAGGCAGGCCTGGTAGACTGGGATTTGTTTGTAGGGGAGGATGGCTTTGGATTTCTTGTCAGCTGTGGAGGTTGTCCAGTCAGGCCCCAGAGTCCTTTGAGTACCCCCAACCCACCCATCTCTTATCACAAACACCTAGAGCCACTCGAGACCATGCTGTAAAAGCTCCCGCTTGATGGCAATGTTGCTCCACAAGAGCCTTCCACCTCCTCCCCATGGCCTCTCCCTCCGCCTTTTCCTGACTAAAAAAGCCAAGGAAAGCACAGAACCATCTGGGCCTTTTAAGTGGGGTTTACTGCCTTGGAGTTATGGGGGAAATGTTTTCTCATCCTTTCCAGCTCTTTGCTTTATGTGTGTATATATATAAAAAACCAAATAAGCCCCTTTCCATTGAATCAATTCCGACTCTTAGAGACTCCATGTGTTACAGATTAGTTTTGATCCACAGGGTTTTTATAGCTATAATCTTTACTGAAGGAGCCCTAGTGGTATAGCAGTTAAGTGCTCGGCTGCTAACCAAAAGGTCCATGGTTCAAATTCACCGGCAGCTTCGCTAGAGAATGCTGTGGCAGCCTGCTTCTGTAAAACTTACAGCCTTGTCGAGTAGATACAAGAGACTAAACAGGCAGCTTCTGTCCAGAGGTGAGATGGGAAGGCAAAGAGGATTAGGAGCTGGTTGAATGGACATGGGGAATCGGGTGGAAAGGAGGAGTGTGCTGTCACAGTATGGGGAGGGCGATTAGGGTCACATAACAATGTATGTATAAATTTTTGTATGGGAGACTAACTTGAAATGTAAACTTCATTTAAACTACAACAATAAAAAAATTAAAAGAAAATATTCTCCTTTGGCATTCAGAGTTAGGAAAAAATAAATACCATATCTCATTTCTCCTAAACATGGCGGCCACCGAGCCACGCTCTATGGCTCCTTGAGCCTAGCTCACCTGGCAGCCTGGAGTTTATTTGTTGGATAGCCTGGCTCTGTGCCTTACACACCAGTTCTAGAGGTGGCGTGGTCTAGCCCCAGAATCCTCAGAGTGCCCTCAATCCACCCTTCCTCATATCACAGGGCTCACCTCAAGATACAACTAGAGGGGCTCATTACAATGCTCAAAAAAGCATCCACTTGATGGCACTGTTGACTCACAAATGCCAGCCACCCCTTCCTCCTTGCCTCTCCCTCCGCCCTTTCCTGTCTGAAAAAGCCAGATAAGACCCAGAAGCCATCTAGACTCCCAACTGGGGTTTACTATGTTGAGGTGTTGGGGGAAGTGTTTTATCTTTCTTTCTGGTTTTTTGCTTTGAATGTGTGTGTATGTATGTATATATGAGTATCAGTGTGAGTATATGTGTGCATGCATGTTTATCAATTGCTACATCTATTTCTGTAAGACTTCTAAGTCAGAATTCTATGTTAATAGGTGCCCAGATTTTTGTTCACACATGTAGATAAACAGGTCTTTCTTGGGTAGGATTTTTGCTTTCACTCCTTGCATCTATCAGGAAGAATATCTTGATTTCTCTCTTATCATGGCCTCATTGGCATTTCTAGATGCATTGAGCTACCTCATCCAGGGCAAGGACTCAGAACCCTGGCCCCAGAGAAAGAGTAGGGCATTGTAGCAGCAACTGGACTCATTACCAGTAGTCACGGCAGGTCAGAAGGCAGTGAGGGTGGTGTCCTGGCTCACCTTCAGCCATGTCAAGTAGTTATTCCCCATTTGCTGTCCACGGTTAGAATTCCATGGGTCAGAAGGAGGCCCCAATGGTGCCATACAGGCAGATGACCTCCTAGAGGGCCATTTGTTTTACAGTCTGTACTACAAAGCTCTATGTGAAAATTTTGGCTGCATCAAAAACTATACACTGACATCTCCACGCATATATACTTACACACACACACACACACACACACACACACACAGAGTTTTATTTTGTCTTTAACTGCTAGGGACTTGTCACTGTAGATATAGCCTCATTGCATTCAAAAGGCCTCATCGCATTCAAAGTAAACATCAATTACATTGTACTAGGACCATTTTCAAGCCTGTTGCCTCTCTCTTCCATCCCTCGTCCCAACCCTCCTTATAGTGGAAAACAGATTTAATTTCTCCTTGTGTATACTTTCGTTGTTTAATGCACATGAAAGCAAATACAGACTCATGTTTGCATTTCACCTTTTCACTGACCCCAGAGGGTCGCATGAGGAATATACTCCTCTGCTTTCAGAAAATACATATTCTGGCCTGTACACAACTGTGCAGAAGACATCCTGCCGGATACTTTTAATTTCCTTTCTAACCACTGCCTTGTGTTCCCCTGTTTGGAGGTGGGTGGGGTATAAGTTATTTATCCTGGGCTTCTCCTTTGACACTAGGTTTAGGATGTCCTTCCTTCCTACCAGGGCCCTGGTGGTACAGTGGTTAAGCGTTTGACTGCTAGCCAAAAGGCTGGCAGTTCAAATCCATCAGCAGCTCCTTGGAAACCCTATGGGGCAGTTGTACTCTGTCCTATAGGGTCACTATGAGTCAGAATTGACTCAAGTTTCATGTCAGAAGACATGGCCTACTCTCTGTCTGGGGCCTGGGTCCTTGATCCTTGCCCTGGATGAGGTAGCTCATGTGTCCAGAAAAGCCAATGAGGTAATGATAAGAGAAAAAAATCAAGTACTTATCCTGACTCAAGCCATGAGTCAATTTCCTATGAAAGCTAAAATCCTACCCAAGAAGACCTATATATCTACAGGTATGAACAAACATCTGGGTACTTGTTAACATGGAATTCTGACGTCAAAGTCTTGCAGAAATAGATGTAGCGATAGATGGATATGCATGTATATACATGTACTCATACTGGTATTTATAAATCTATGTATCTCCCCTGAGTGGTGCAGTTTGTACTCAGCTACTAACCTAAAACTTGGAGGTTTAAATTCAAAGCTACCCAGAGATGCCTTGAAAGAAATGCCTGATCATCTGCTTCCACAAAGATTATAACCAAGAAAGCCTGTGGGGCTGTTCTACTCTATAACACATGGCATCACAATGAGTTGGAATCTACTAGATGGCAACATGGTTTTTTGTTTGGTTTTTTTTTTTTTTTTTTTTTTTTGGTGTATCATGTGGAGAAGGTCTATGATATGAACAAGGGCGTGTTGAGGTAGTCAAAGGACTCTAGGGACTTAATAGGCCACCTCCAGAGCAGGTGTGAAAGGCCCATAGCCAAGCTCCCAAAAAAGCCCAGGCTGCCATGCCTACCAAGCTCAAGGAGCTGTGAGGGGGTGGCCTATGTGGCAGCCGTGTTTGGGAGGAACCAGAAACATGTATTCGGTCCTTACTCTAACTGGAAACAAAACATCCTCAAGGACAGAAATACCTTGCTGAAGGTCCATTCGAGTGGTTTCTGCTAGTCCCACTAGACATGGCAGCCACCAAGGCCCAAACCTTGACTTCCTGTGCATAACCTGCCTGGTACCCTGGCTGTCTGCCTATTCCTGACCTTGGTATGCACTTACCCCATGCCTAAAGGAGCTGTAGACATGCTGTCTTTCATCCTGACTGGGACCCTAACTTTCCTCCAATCCAGGTCTCCTCACGAAGCAACAGTAGTGGGTCTATGGACTTCGCAAACAATTTCCGCTTGATGGCAGTATTGCACCAGAAATACCAGCACTCTCATCACCCTCCGCCCTTTGGTATCAAAAAAACTGCCAGCCAGTGTTGGGCCTCCATAAAATTATGGTTCCTCTCCATCATGTCCACTTTTGGGGCACAGGGTCACACAACTTCTGTATTTTTGCAAGCCCTTCCCACTGTACGGGGGTCATTAGCTTTTCTTCCTTCCTGAGGAGGAAGAATTACACCACACCAGATACCCTGTGGGTGGACGGACCTAAAGCCATCCATATCTGCAACCTTAAAGCTCCAGCTTGGCCAGACCTCAAGAAACAGATTGCATCCCTGCACAGAGTCCACCCACTCAGCGTCCAACTGCCCATCAAGGAACATTCCAACTTGAGCTTTCTTACACCTCACCTAAAAGCCAGTGTAATATCAATTTCAATTTTGTTTCTCTTCTGGAAAGTACACACCCATAATTCAGGGGTGCTGCCACGAATCAGATCTTAGAGAACCAGATCCTCTGAAATATAAAGATGTTGTTCTTGTTGTTAGGTGCTATCAAGTCGATTTGGACTCATAGTGATCCATTGTGACAGTATAAAGACCCTACAGGGTCTTCTAGGCTGTCATCTTAAGGGAGCAAACTGCTAGATTTTTCTCCCATAGAGTGGCTAGGTGGGTTTAAACCACCAACCTATAGGCTATCAACCAAGCACTTAACAACTGCACCACTAGGGCTCCTTCACAAAAGATAACTTCTGATAATCTCTTTCCTAGGGAAGCACAAATGATCAACTTGAGCCATGGGTAATGACTCCTGCTGCTTCCACAATGGATTACTCTCTCTCAGGGGCCTGGCTCCTGAGGCTTTGCCCTGGATGATAGAGCTGACTGAATCCAGAAAAGCCAATGAGGCCATGATAAGAGAGAATCAAAATACTGATCCAGACTCAAGACTCAAATCAATTTCCTGTGAAAGTTAAATCCTACCCAAGAAGACTTGTATACCTACATGTGTGAACAAAACTTTGGGAACCTGTTAACATGGAATTCTGACTTACGGTTCTTTTAGAAATAGATGTAGCAATACATAAAGATAAGTATGCGTGTATACATGTATTCATACTGATATTCATATTTATATACATATATACACATCTAGCTATTAAAAAGCCAGAAAGAAACAAAAGCACTTCCCTGGAAACCCCAATGCAGTAAACCCCACTTAGAAGCCTAGATGGCTTTTGGGCCTTGTCTGGCTTTTTTAGTCTGGAAAGGGTGGAGGGAAAGGCCAGGAGGACGGGGTGGCTCTCATTTGTGAATCAACAATGCCATCAAGCGGTTGCTTTTTGAGCATGGTCTTATAGAAATAGATGTAGCAATCAATCGATGAACAGGTATGTATACAAATACTCATAGTGGTGTTCATATATGTGTATATATATATATATATATATACATATATATATAGTATCTGTAAACCGTTGCTGTCCAGTCAATTCCAACTCACGGCGACCCTATAGGACAGAGTAGAACTGCCCCATAGGGTTTCCAAGGAGCAGCTGGTGGATTCGAACTGCCAACCTTTTGGTTTGCAGCCTTAACGCTTAACCACCGCGCCACCAGGGCTCCTAAAATAGGCACACATACACATTATATAAATTGCAAGCAAAAGTCAGAAAAAGAAGAGAAAGTCCTTCCCCAACACCGCACGCAGTAAACTCCACTTGGAAGACCTAGAGGGCTCCTGGCCCATACTTGGTGTTTTTAAGTCAGGAAAGGGCAGAGGAAGAGGCCATGGCGAAGGGGAGGCTGGCATTTGTGAAGCAACACTGCCATCAAGCAGAAGCTTTCTGAACATGACATTGACCCTCTCTAGCTGTACCTTGTGGGTGTTGCTGCTGTTGTTGGATACTCCATGTGACAGAGTAGAACTGCCCCATAGCGTTTTCTAGGCTGTAATCTTTACAGAAGCAGATTGCCAGTTCTTTCTATTGCAGAAATACTGGGTGGGTTCAAATGGCAACCCTTTGGTTACCAGCTTAGTGCTTAACCATTGCACAACCAGGTCTCCTTCATCTCGTGAGTAAGAAGGCATGTGATATGAAGAAGGGAGGGTTAGGGGCACTCAAGATGACTCTAGGGCTTGATCGGCCAAACTCTAGAGCAGTTGTGAAAGCCACAGGTCTAGGCTCCCCAACAAAGGAGCCCCAGACTGCTAGGCCTGCATGGCCAGGGAGCCATGGGGACGTGGCTTGGTGGCCGCCATTTTGGGATAAATGAGAAATGTGGTATTCTTCTCTAACTCTGAATGCCAAAGGAAAATTTCCTCAAGGAAAAACAATGTATCTGGAAATTTGGCAAGGTGAAGATGTGAGACAAGCGACAGCAGAAGATCTCCTTCTCAGGATTGACAAGTTAAATCCATTTCTCTACACGCAGAAGAAAAGTGAAGTCAGAAGGACCCGGTTTCTTCCTGATTGTTTCCACCTTCAGCCAACCAATCAGCATGCATCCTTTCAGAAATCAAAGATTTCTACCAGGTTCCTAAAGAAACTGTGAAGCCACAGGCTCCATTTCTACAGAACATGCCCAATCGACTAGGTTTCCACATTGCACATACACATGCCATCTGGTGACATTACACAGAGGAAAGAGGAGTGAACTCGAGCGCCCTCCACACCCCCTGGAGGTGTGCACTGTGTGGGGTAGACTCAGCACTCTCGTAGTTTAGGGTTTGGATCACTTCATATACCCTGTAGAAAGCAGAGCCTGGTGCTGATCTTATTCAACACTTTGTCCCTGGAGTTCAACATGGTCTTGATATGTAGTGTTTTCCTTCTTTCTTTCCCTACTTCCTTGTGCTTTCATTTTCTACTCTGTGTGTTGATCACTGACAGTCCCCGGAAATTGCCTTTAAAGGTGACAATGTTTTCCCAGAGACTTCATCAGCCTGAGACCAGAAGAACTAGATGCTGCCCGGCTACCACCAATGACCACCCAGACAGGAAACACAACAGAGAGTGCCGGATGGAGCGGGAGAAAGGTGGGGTGCAGAACTCAAATTCTAGTAAGAAGACCAGACTTAATGGTGTGACTGAGACTGGACGAACCCCAGAAGACATGGCCCCCGGATTCTCTATCAGCCCAGAACTAAAACCATTCCCGAGGCCAACTCTTCAGACAAAGATTGGACTGGACTGTGTGACATAAAATAATACTCGTGAAGAGTGTGCTTCTTAGCTCAAGTAGATACAAGAGACTAAACTGGCAGGTTCTGTCTGGAGGTGAGATGGGAAGGCAGAGAGGGTTAGGAGCTGGTTGAATGGACATGGGGAATCAGGGGTGGAAAGGAGGAGTGTGCTGTCACAGTATGGGGAGGGCAATTAGGGTCACATAACAACGTATGTATAAATTTTTGTATGGGAGACTAACTTGAAATGTAAACTTCATTTAAACTACAACAATTAAAAAAAAAAATGTGACAAGGTTTTCCAGGGATTTCAAACACAAGTGATCTATCGCTTTCATGTTCTTCTTGGAGACATGCTTCCTGGAGAAACCAGTCCTCCTGCTGTGATCTGGACTGGTTTCACTCTCAGGTCAGCCGCATAGATATCATCCTGGGCCTCCCTTTACTGTCCTCAGAGGTTGCTCTGGAGCCCTAGTGGCTTAGTAGATAAGAACTTGGCTGCTAACCAAAAAGTCGGCAGTTGGAATCCACCAGCTGCTCCTTGGAAAACCTATGGGGCAGTTCTACTCTGTCCTATAGGGTCACTATGAGTTGGAATTGACTCTGTGACAATGGGTTTGGTTTGGTTAGACTGCTCTAACCCCTGGCTTACTTTCACCTGCATCAGATGTGTCACTACCTGGGGAACCCTCTAACATCACCCAAACCTGTTTATTAGTGATCCTTCTCAATACTCCCTGGTTTTGGTGGAGCACATCCTATAGTAGCTTCATCAGAACAGGTGCTTGGGAGATCCAATTTTGGCTGACAGTGAAGAAGGAAACTGGCTTTCAGACTGCCAGCACTGTGGACTGGGCCAAGTCTGAATGTGTATAGACTGCCAGGTGGGAAGCCACTTACCCTCTAAAGATCAAGTCATGGTGCCATGGTTTCCTGGCATACGGATCCTCCATGAGACCTCTAGGCAATTCTCATTATTGATATTCTGTAGTTGAACCCATTTCCTATCTGGAAGCATTCTGGGAGCTTCTGTTCAACCTGGTAGTCCACAATTTGAGTCACGGGCAGGACATCCTCCAGTGGTACCATCCCTCAGGAAACACCTTTGTGGCTTTATCATTTGAAGGTCTTCTTTCTCTAAGGTTTTGTCAAAAATAGAAGACAGGAATCATACCTTCTCAAGTAATGACATTTTCAGATTGGTTTGTGAACAGACAGACTTAGAAAGTAAAGAAATATTTGTGTCACTCTGCCCCTATGCCCCGCCCAACCCCTCTTGGCCCACATAATATTCCAGCAAGAGCTTATTACCACTTACTTACTGGCCTAGCTGAGGGCCATGGTCCAGTGTGCTCAATCCCAGAGAGATCAGGAAATCATGGGAGGAAGAGGTAGGAAAGGGTCAACTTAGAGAAGAAGGCAAAGGCCTTCAACCTGGTTGTCCTCAAGGGGTCTCCAACAGTCTTTCCCCATTGGAAACTGAGACTTTTCCTTCCCATAGACAAGGTGGGCAACCACATGGTCCTCTCTCAGGCCGATGGCCTCATGGGGCTCCAGCCTCCAATGGCTTTCCTCTCTCCCCTGCACTGCAGGACACTGACCTGTCATTCCGGCACCTCTGCCCAAAGGTGGACAGAGATCCTCTCTACACTGCTCCATGCATTTCTAATGTGGAGTAACACAATCAAGATGTCTCTCAAGATCCTTTTGTACCATGCTGGAAAGCCACTTAATAATCTCTTAGTGTTACTGTGCTGTATGTATCAATGTTGGGAAATTCCTTTCTGAGGTTTGTTCAAATATCAGAAATTACTGTAGTTCTTTAATAAAATTAACAATCCTGTGCAACCTGGTTTTGAATGGAAAATGAATAGAAAAACAAAGACTCACCAATAAGTCCACTCCTAGAGATGAGCAGCGTTCTGTCTCCTGTCTTTCTTTCCAGTCCAATTTCCTCAGCACAGAGATGCCCAGACACCCAGGACTCCATTTCAGTTTGCCAGAGTGATGGTAAAAGGTAGCCACATACACTCAGTCCAACCTACAGGGATATCTGCTCTGCTGAAAAATAGAGATTTGTTGCTTTTTTTTCCTTAATGCTACAAAATCAGCTATAACAATAATTTTCAAGTAAATTGTGATATAAATTTCAACTCCTCTTTTGGAAATTATACAAATATAATTTGGGGTGTTTCAATGAATTGGATCTTACAGAACCAGCTCCTGTGAAATCTGAAGGTACATGCCCCTGAAATACTTTATGTGTGGCAAATACAATCATGTCAGAAGACAGGAAGATTGATGCCTTAGAATAGGGACAATGCTAGGAGCTCTAATAAATGGCATAAACAGAATACAAAACATTACTAACAATGCCCAAACACCAGAAGAGAAACTAGATAACTGGGAGCTCCTAAAAATCAAACACTTATGCTCATCAAAAGAATTCACCAAAAGAGTAAAAAGACAACCTACAGACTGGGAAAAAAGTTTTGGCTACGATAAATCCGATCAGGGTCTAATCTCTAAAATCTATAAGATACTGCAAAACTTCAACCCCACAAAAAGACAAATAACCCAATTTAAAAAAGGACAAAGGATATGAACAGGCATTTCACCAAAGAAAACATTCAGGTGGCTAACAGATACCTGAGGAAATGCTCAGGATCATTAGCCATTAGAGAAACGCAAATCAAAACTACAATGAGATACCATCTCAACCCAACAAGGCTAGCATTAATCCAAAAAACACAAAATAATAAATGTTGGAGAGGTCGTGAAGAGCCTGGAAGACTTCTACACTGCTGGTGGGAATGTAAAATGGTACAACCACTTTGGAAATCGATTTGGTGCTTCCTTAAAAAGCTAGAAATAGAAGTACCATACAATCCAGCAATCCCACTCCTTGGAATATATCCTAGAGAAATAAAAGCCATCACATGAATAGATATATGCACACCCATGTTCATTACAACACTGTTCAGGATAGCAAAAAGATGGAAACAACCTACGTGCCCATCAACAGACGAATGGATAAACAAATTATGGTATATTCGCACAATGGAATACTATGCAACAATAAAGAATAACAATGAATCCACGAAATATCTCATAACGGATGAATCTGGAAGGCAATATGCTGAGTGAAATTGGTCAGTTTCAAAAGGACCAATATTGTATGAGAGCACTATTATAAGAACTCAAGGAAAGGTTTAAACACAGAAGAAAACATTCGTTGATGGTGACATAACTAGGGTCGCATTCTTTGATGGTTACAAGAGGGAAGGAGATGGGTATTCACACTAGATAGTAGACAAGAATTATCTTAGGTGAAGGGAAGGACAACACATACTACAGGGGAAGTCAGCACAATTGGACTAACCCAAAAGCTAAGAAGTTTCCTAAATACAACCAAACACTTCAAGGGACACAGTGGCAGGGGCAGGGGTCTGGGGACCATGGTTTCAGGGGACATCTAGGTCAGTTGGCATAACAAAGTTTATTAAGAAAATATTCTGCATCCCACTTTGGTGAGTGGCATGGTGTCTACGGTCTTAAAAGCTAGTGAGCAGCTATCTAAGATGCATCGATTGGTCCCAACCCACCTGGAGCAAGGGAGAATGAAGAACACCAGAGACACTAGGATAATATTAGCCCAAGAGACAAAAGTGCCACATAAACCAGAGACTCCATCAGACTCAGACCAGAAGAACTAGATGGTGCCCGGCTATCACCAATGACTGCCCTGACAGGGAACACAACACAGAGTCCCTGATGGAGCAGGAGAAAAGTGGGGTGCAGAACTCAAATTCTAGTAAAAAGACCAGACTTAATGGTCTGACAGAGACTGGAGGGACCCCGGAAGACATGGACCCCGGACTCTCTGTTAGCCCAAAACTAAAACCATTCCCGAAGCCAACTCTTTGGACAAAGATTAGACTGGACTAGAAGACATAAAATGACACTCGTGAGGTGTGTGCTTCTTAGCTCAAGTAGATACATGAGACTAAATGGGCAGCTCCTGTCCAGAGGGGAGATGAGAAGGCAAAAAGGGACAGGAGCTGGTTGAATGGACATGGGAAATCCAGGGTGGAAAGGAGGAGTGTGCTGTCACATTGCAGGGAGAGCAACTAGGGTCACATAACAATGTGTGTATAAACTTTTGTATGAGAAACTGACTTGAACTGTAAACTTTCACTTAAAGCAGAGTAAAAAAAAAAAAAAAAAATGATTGATGCCTTGGCTTACCTTCTGGGATCCAGGTAGTTATTGCCCATTTGGTGCCCCAGGTAGAGGTCTATTAGTCAGAAGAAGACCACAATGGTGCGACACAAGCAACCTCTGCAAGGGCCATTTTATAGTCCCTCTGTAAGGTTCTACATGAAGGTATCACTGCATTATACACTCACTGCCCCAGACAAACACAAACACACACACACACACACACACACACACACACACACAGAGTTTTGTTATGGTAGTCTTTTGACTATCATGGATGTGTCAATATGGATACGGCCTCACCCCATTCAAAGAAAACACCCATTACCACTGTATTAGGATCACTTCCAAGCCTGTTCCTCTCCCTTCCACCCCCTCTCCCAACCCTTCTCCCAATCATTCTTATAGTGGGAAAGAGATTTCATTTTTCCTTGTGTGCTTTCAATAGGCTTACACGGTCATCCAAACCCTAAACAAGGAACATGGATTGAAATGAAAACAGCGTATACTTTCATGGGAGATGGACTAGAGGGGAGAGAAGCTTGTATACTTCTCTGTCTGGGTATGGAGGGTGCTCTACCATCAGTAGACTAGTAATGTCACTAGATGTCTGCACGCACAAAATGAAACCATTGGGTTGTAAAAATGGAGAAAGTAGATACATGCTTTCTTTAGGAGCCTGACAGAAATCCTTGAGTTTTGAAAGAATGCATGCTAATGGGTTTGCTGAACATGGAAACACTCAGGAGGGAACCAGCTCCTCACTTCTCATCCACAGGTAGAGAAATGGATTTAACTTGTTGATCCAAGGTGGAGATTTTTTGGTAGTGTTTGGTTCAGCTCTTCACCTAGCCAAATTTCCATGTATATATTTATGTGT